ATTTTCTGTATGGCAATATACATTATTTACATGCTAATCTTATTGTAAACATTCGCATGTGCGGCGGTACCCCCTGTGATTCAGGCATCAGCTTATAGATACAGCAACTCTGGTCAAAGATATAGCTTTGGTTTCAGAAGAAGAGGAAACACAAAGTTTTAAAAAGCTGTTTTATATGCATTTTTACTACAAAGAGGATTGTGTGATGCTTATCTTTGATTAGTGCTCAGTTCTAGGTTTTCAGGAGAGTATTCCCTGAAAATAAGCTGAGCACTAAAAGCACAATGTTTAGAGGGATTCTCATTTTTTCTGCTGCATATGACAAATGTAGTTACAGTATGTGTGTTTTTTATTTCAAGCTTATCTACCTGAAGGTGACAGCCCTGCTGTTTCCTACCTCAGACTTCAGACACCCAGTCACAACTCCAGCGCTACTTTACATCAGCCAGGCACTGACCAAGGTACACACAGCCTTTGGTGTGTGTGTGTGTGTGTGTGTGTGTGTGTGTGTGTGTGTTATTGTCTGTATTGTTGGAGCAGTTTCTGTTCTGCCTGCCAGTCTTTGTGTGTTACTTTGTCATTGTTACTTCTACTATTTCATCATTTCTCATTTTGTTTGTATCCAGTCCTCATCCTGTCACAGTTGATTCAGTTCTTTGTGCTTTTTCTTCATATAAGAAGAGGCTTTCCATATAGACCCCTCAAACGTTTTCAAGTCTTCATTATAAAATTTACAGAACAGCTGTGATGTTACTGTTTTCAAGTCAGAGCTACATATGAAACCCTCATTGTTTACATGATGGTTATATAGAAGTAAATGTCTTAAATCCCACAAAATTTGTGTCACTGGATGGATGTTTGGTTTGCTGCACTACTGCTATAATCATATGTGTGTGTTTAAAATTTTACATCCTCAGTGTCCAGTGAGATCATTACAGGATGTAATGGCAGCTTTAGTGCTATGCTGCCTGGCAGTGGAGTACGTCTCGATTTCAAAGCGCTTCCTGCCAGAGCTCATCAACTTCCTGGCCGGAACGCTACACTTGGCCGTGCAGGACAAGACCTCTCTAGGTAGCCTATATTTCACAAAATACACATCAATATAACACTTGGTCTGTTGTACACATTTTGGTGCCGACATTTGTGAAGTGAAACAGACGTGACCCACCTGGATGATGTGTTGTAGGATACTCTGTGGTGCCACCTTTCAGGCCAACAGGGAGGAACAGTAATCTGCTGGTGTTGTCAGACTCGGAGTCCTGCAAAAGCTGGAGCAAGAAGAGCCTGCCGCTGTCTGCTACCCAACACCTGGAACTCAAAAATGACACGGACAGAGACAACCACAGGTAAGAGCATTGGAATGGTGTACCTGGATGGAATGAGGCTGGTCAAACCCCTAAACCTTAGACTGATTTAATGTTACTACAGTCAGCTGATAAAACCTAGACAGTAGTTAATATCATTAAAAATTATTGCATCAACATAGAATAACAGCTGTCTAAAATAACCCAGCAAAAAACAGCCTTTGGCCGTACGGTTGAAAGACAATGCACGTAGACAAGATGAGAGTCGGCCGTGAAGGTAGCCAGGCTGTTTTCAATGTTCCAATTCAATGATGTTCGCCTCCAGTGCTGCTAGCATCTGACATTTATTGCAAGTACCACTACGATTACCACAGGAAGTAGCAGGAATCCAGTCAAACATCGTGTATACATACTTATGTAAATCCAGACAACCCCCAGAGATGTGCCATTTAGGAAAAAAACCCTGATCTGGGAATATCTTAATTGTCCATTCAGAACTGAGTATTTAACAATGTCATGGAATAACAGGATTGAACGCCGTCCTGGAGACAATTATAGACTCAGTAGAAAGAGAGGGAGGGAAGTACAATGTGAGGAGAAGCCTTTTGTCTCCACACAGCCTGCATGTTCAGTTTGAACCAGAAAAAGACCACGACAAATGAAACAGCAGGACAGGAAGTGAGTCATTAGCCTCCTGTGTAGAAATGAGAACCGACAACACAGTTGTGTGATGAAGGTCTTTATTAATGTCCACCACTGCATGGATATGACAACCTAATCTAAGCGTTCCTATTGTGTACAGACCTGTACAGACTGTAAGGCTCAGAGCTGATACATTCACTTGTGTGATTCTGATGTGTCGCCAGCATAGTTTCACACAGCAGCTGGTGTGTAGGCACGAAGCAAAGCTTGCAAACAGGCTTCAGTTGACCATGATTGTGCACAGGTTGTGACGAATATACATGTTCATTAGCACTCAACTAAAATTTATACCCTTAACACGCCATAAAACACTGTTAGAAAGAAATTAATTTAATTTCATTGTAAACCTAAATACTTGCTTAGTGCCTTGTCTTGAGGTCGATCCGGTCCAGTCTCCTTGACACTGTAGTGAACACAGCACCTAATGTGACTCCTGCTCACTCAGTTGTATTCTACTTTCTGCGTCCCTTTAGGCTGCACATTGACGCGTGCACACCAGCATCTGTGTGTGAAGAGTGTAGTAGCTGCAGTAATTACTACCACAGTGATCCAGCAGGTTCTGGGTGGGGGAGGACAGTGTGTATGTACACTGCCTGCCAGCTAAAGTGTGTCTAAATGTGTAAAGATGAATACATGTATTTGCATACAGAACGCTAAACTCATGCTGTAATAGTGAGGAACAATTATTATATAACTAAATGCAGTTGAAGGAGTTGATGTCTTAACCACTTTCCTGGTTATTAAGTGCATCTGTCTTGTAGCATTTTGCACCCCTTCTGATGTTCAGAACAACATTTGTTGTGGAATCTACATAATGGTTTCATGATTATGTAGGTAGGTAGTAGGTATACACTAACACTGTAGTGTGTATGTACCCCTTCACAGGTTGATGTGTTTGTTTACTTGCCTGGACTTGGTGAAGCGGTGCTGCCTGCTCTACAAAGACCTCCCATCCTTCCCACACATCTTCCAGCCAATCAGAATGCTGCTTTCCAAACACCTTTTAGCCCAAACGTTACCGGAGCCTTTACAGGTTGGTGCTAGTTAGGGTTGATATAGCACAGGCTCTCTCTTGCTCTTTTTCTCTTTGTATATTTCTCTTTTTATTATGTCCTTTTGTCAGTTACATCCTAATTGTCATGTTTGTGCTTTTTGTTTCAGGAGCTCCACGGTGAGATCCTGGAGGTCATAAGAAGTGCTCCTGTGACTCACAGGCTGCTGGTTTTTGACAAGAAGAAGCCTATTCCTCTGAAGCTGCTCACCCCTAAGATTGTTGAAGTGTAAGTGGGAATCCAGTGAATACAAAAGTCTCGCTCTCAAAATCAGCTGTCCCGTCCAGAAGCTGGGATAAAGCCTGCAGATTTGCCTGTGTTGCATTTGTTTAAATATCTGATCAGCATCTTTAATATTTTACAGGTTGGACTATGGAAAAAAGCGTGGCAGCACCAGAGAGGAGAGAGAGCGGGAACGACTGAAGCACAAGCACAAGAAGGAGTTCAAGGGCGCTCTGAGGGAGATCAGGAAGGACACGCGCTTCCTGGCCAGAGAGAAACTCAACGAGGTCATGAACAGGTGTGGATAAAATTGGTGTCCACGGGGAAGTGAACCAAAACGTCTGTTAGAAGCCTCTAACTTTTTCGCATTCTGTGTTTCAGAGATGCAGAGAGGAAGAGGAAGGTGAAGGAGCTCTTCGGCAGCTTGGCCACTCAGGAGGGAGAGTGGAAGGCTCTGAAGAGGAAGAAGAGGAAGTGAAGTACAGAATTTCAGCCTCCTTTGCTTCTCTTTTATATGGACTTCTCCCATTCTGCTGTGGATAGTCTGAACGAGGTTGAACTTTGTGGAACTGTAAACTGTATAGATTTTTTTTTTTTATACACTGAAGACAAATTCAATTTCATGTTGTACCAAGCATTTTATACATTTTGAGATATAGTAGTAAGAAATATAAATCAACAAATTATACAGAAAGAATTAGTGATGCAAATTTCATGGCTTGATTACAGAAGAAACCAACAAGATGTATGCATGCATAAGATTTATTAAATTATCATTTTAACATGTATGTATTGGGTCATTCAGTGGGCGTCTTTAGAGGCAGTGATGCCTTTTGTTGTCCGACTTCCTCTTGTATCACTTCAGTCCCTCTGGTCAGTGTGTACAGCTGCTGGTTGCTTATTTCACAGATAGTCTGTGCTCCCCAAGCCCCTAATAACACATTAGTTCAGCGACTGAAGGCACGATTATTACTGCCTTTAAACCAAATGCCTAAAGACAGATTATATCCACTCATAAAAATGCACCTAAAATAAATCCTAATAGTGCTAAAATCCATGGAAGATGATGAAAGGCCTAAAACAGCAGCCTGTTATTGCTGTGTTTAGCCCATGTCATCTACTGTCTCCCAGATGTTTTTAACACCTAGCGTGGCCCGTGGTTGCTTTCACACATACATCCACGGTTGGCTGGCTGCTTTCTGTCCTACTTTCTCATTAGATAATAATGAGAGAGAGAAGATGACCTGACATCCAGCTGAGTTCTGGCATCACAGTATTTATGATTAATTCAAAACGGCAATAAATTATTTGTATTAACACAGTGAGCTGCTTGCAACATTTTACACTCAGTACTACAAAAGTTAAATGTTCATATTATTCTCAAACACTCAAAGTGTGAATCTTTTGAGAACAATATGAACTTTAATTAAAGAAGGGATGGCAGCTATAAATTTACTTATCCATAAATATTAAGATAAAATTATTTGAAAGTATTCTGAGTGAAAAATGAGTATGAAGTAATGGAGAGGGTGCTTTCCTAAAGTTTTAAGCGTTAATTAATATCTTGCTTTCCATTGTCTTTATCAGTTGAGAGAAATTCTTCTACCCTTGTCTAAGAAGTACAGAGTGGTGAAACCTACAGAACTGCACGTTCCTTTACTTCCCTAACTCTAAAAACAACACTGACCCGACACGTCAGCAATCAGATAAATGAACAAAATTCCATTTTTTGCATATTTTATTCAACACTTCAGATATATTCACATCACAGCGACAAAGCTGAATAGTACTTTACATGCTCTTGTTTTTCAAAAGTTTATTCAACATGGTATATATATGTAGATTTGTTAAAGCAGTGATAACGTAAAAAATACAGTTATGAATGCACTAATAGCTCAACACTTCAGTCCACCGCGAAAGCCAGTGACAGTACAGACGAAAATAGAGACGATCATTATGTTTCCATTACAACCAGATCACTGTCAATGGTTCATTTATATAGAGACACTTAGGTGCTTGAAGTGATCAATTGTGGCATATTTCCATGGATGAGATATTGACGTAGCCACACAGTTGACAGAAGTGTACATATTGACACCCACACGTGCACACACAGTGACCAGGCAGCCTTCTCAGTGGGAGGGAGTCGCTGTAAATGACAGCTGGTCACAGAAGACACACACCTGAGGTCCCGGTCAGGACTGATGTGCAAAAGGCACGCGCACACACACACACACACCCACACATCATCTCCCCTTCTCTACAGTATTTACACATATACTGTTGTAGAGACGTACATAAGAGCGCCACCAGAAACACGCAAACACAGATGCTGGGCACAGACTCCATAGAGGACCAAAACGAGGCACGACGGGACTTGGCAGAGCGACATGGAATGTTTCAGTCATTGATCCTTGATTGATCCTTGAAGCTCTCAGTTTATTCATCGGAGTCCTCCTGGGGGAGAAGAGTGACAAGAGACGGGCTGTGAATTCACTGTCATGGATGCAAATGACTCCCTGTGATATTATTTGTTTAACCGTGAAGCTTCACCATCCAGCATAATGAGATTACATCTAAGGAACTGTATGAAGCAGTAAAGATACAACACATTATGGCAATTTATTTATATGTTACTCTGGCTGCTGTCATGAAAAATACATCTCTGTCCTTGTGTTATTTGCTCATTTATATCTTGTTACATGCTAAATATCTTATAAAAAATCATGGCTTCTTTTTTCTCTTCCTTGTCTTACCTCTGTAGCATCAGCAGGATCAATATCAACCGGTGACTCAGCCAGGTTCTGTGCAGCTGAGACGTCATCACTCTGAAAAGCACAAAAGGTAGATTATTTTTCTTTTTTTAACACCATGATTCAGTATATCCTTGATCGGAAGGCACTTAATGGAATGAAGAACACAATGCTTGTGGTCTGTGTTTCTGCGCATATAGACACATAAAGTTGTAGTGATTGGCTGATTAATGGATTAGCTGGTCAGAAGAACATTTATTGGCTGTTTTGCTAGTTCCAGATTTTCAGATGTAAGATACTGATTGTTTTCTGTGTCATACATACAACTATATATTTTAGATGTGCACTGCTGCTCAGACAAGCCAAGACATTTGAAGATGTCACCTTGGATTGTGGCAAATTACCACAGACATTTTTTCACATATAAATATATTTATTTTACATGTTAAAGACAAAACAATGAATCTATTAATGGAGAAGATAACCAGCAGATAACTGTTGATGAAAATAACCCTCAGCTGCAGCCCTAGTGAGACATGACTTCACCTCCAAGTTGTGTCTGTGCCTTTAACCATGGTGGTGTAAAATTAGAAAGCAGTTTTATTTTTGCAGCTATGATTTGAAACTATTTGTTGTCCTACTACCGACAGATTAGAAAACCCTTCTATGTGTTGTTCTAAATGCAATTTTGGGACTTGTGTGCGTATGTGAAACGTTCACTGACAGCTGACATAACCTTAAATCGGTTTTTACACCCTCTCTTCCTGCTGTTGCATTTAACACCACCCATCAAGCGTCCATCTGTTCAACCGGCAGAGCTAGAGAGACTCATGTAAAAACGCACACAAACACCGACTTGTTTATTTACTGTGGTCAGACTTTGGCCGTATCTGAAATATCCTCCAAAGCCAAATCCAAATACTGTCTCACCTATGATAGTGCTACTGTTTCAGAGGTATTTTCAAGCAGAAATCACTTCCTGGGGACATGAAATACAGCAGCCTGTTTTATTACATGACACAGAAAAGCTCTGAGCAATGTTTGTTGAGACTGTTTTCAATTTTCCGTCATGCATCCTCCTCTGCTCTCCCACCTCTCTACCCACCACTCTGCCTGCTCCTCTGTCTCATTGTCATCTTCCTCTCCTTCTACCTTTCTGGCTTTTGTGTCTCCTGATATGAGTCACCAGCAACTGATGAATTGGTGAAACAGCCCAATGAGATTAATCAAGACTCAGCATCCCTTCATCCACTGTTTGCTGATGTATGTGTGTGTGTGAGACACAGGAGACGATGTGGGCTTTTCCAACGTGGCATCAATTTTTAAATGAAATTAATATTAATGGTGTTTAATGGCTGAGCCGCTTGGGAATGATCGTCTGCTTGTCATTCTCTCAGTGGGAATACCAGGGTTTTTTTTTATCTGTGTGTTTATTCTTCTGTCAGTCAGACCATCCATCTCTTTATCAGTCAGTCCACTCTGAGTCTGTTTGTCCATCTGTTTGTCTGCTCTGCCAGCCAGTTTGGCTTATCAGGGCTCCTCATAATGAGGCTGATCACATTCCAGGTGGGGCTCTGTCTGAGTTTTATCCCTCAGGGTGAAAACCACAATTAGCTACCTTACTGACACAACTGCTATGAAGGATGAAAGGATTTGGTGTTTTCAGGGTAAATTTATAGTGCAAAAGATGAAAACAGCAGGGGGCAAACCGTGTTAAACATGTTGTATGTGTCAGTTGTTGCCACTGGCAGAAAACTAACTTGATCATTTCTTTGGTGTCTTATCTATTTTAGGGCACCTTACACTACTCACATCCAATTAAGACAGAAATAAAGGAAACAAAGTGTGTGTGTGTGTGTGTGTGTGTGTCTAAATTGTTGTTATGGATTCCCCAGTGTTTCGTCGCTAATTAAGGAACAGGGGGTTGAGCATCACAACAAACACTTAGCGATGTGTTTGTGTTGCCCAGGGAAATATTTGATTGGCTTAACATTTCCTGCTACTCACAGCAATATTATAATTGAGGAGGGTGATTACAGGCAAAATTAGTCCTCCCTTTAGAATTACATCTGATTTTAACACCTTATTAATCCTGATATATAAGAGCAGAGGTGTGGGGAGTGTAACCACTTTGGTTTGACTACAAAAGCAGAACAGAGATAAGTGTTTTTCAGTGATAAAAGCAGAGGATGAAGTGCACGAAGGCTGTCTGTTCATCTTCTTCTTGGTCTTGTTTGAACGCTTATGAATTTCTGTGCTATAGGAGGTGGTGCAAAGTACTGTAAAAATGAAAATGTAGTTATTTAGGGTGAGAATCTTGTGCGTTTTGCAAGTAGTGATTAAAAGTGCCCTACAAGGTTCTCTTGTAAACAAACAATCATTATGTTTCAATGCAGTGTTTCTCACCAAAGCACACTGCTGTGTATCCTAGAGGTCTAACAAACATGTTGTTATTTTCTTATACATGAACCCTTTAAAAAAAAAGCATTGTTTACAACCACGTTTATCTTCTAGCTATCTCTTCCACGTCACATCGCTAAGCTTTTTTGCACATTGCCGCCAGTTGTTGATAAGTGGAATTGTGTGAAACGGTCAGTAAAACTAGAGAGGCTGCATGTACTATCAACAAGAACAGTAACAACTGTGCCACCCTTCAATTATTGTTTATTATTTGCATTTTTCATATGTTTTATTTATTTGTTTGTTTGTTTGTTTGTTTAGGTGTAAATGGGCCCATGTGAAAATGACACATGATCATCTGTCAAAATCTTTGCTACAGAGATGGAGAGAGTAAAACAGAAGGATCCAGACAGCAAAACAAGCCAGTGAAAGGGGGAAGAAGAGTCATTTTTCATATTTGACTTATGTTGCACCAGTAAATTGTTTGCTAGAGTAAGCTGCCCTTACCACCACCACCGCTTCCTCCTCCTCCTTTGAGCAAATGAAGGCCAGACTGACTGATGAAAAACACAGGGCAAGCTAACAATATGTACTGGCTTTCATTTCAGGAAAGAAAGACACACAGCAGATGTGAGAAGTGATGACAAATGACTCAAGGTCAGGAGACTGTTTAGGCACAGTGAAGAGACATAGCTGGCAACTTCTGGAGTGAAATGAATGCTTCGCCTTTGCTTTGCTGCAAACTACCTTTTCTAAGGATATGTTTAGCATGTGTGGCCATAAGAAAATGAAACAGAAATTGGAATTGTTCTCATTTTTGATGACAGAAATTGTAAACTGTAATGGCACTGCAGCTATTGTGCATATTCTTAAAAGTTTTAAGAGGGTACTAACCCATTTTTTATAAAAAGTCTTGGTTGACTAATATGTGAGGACCAGCATTGCTAATATGACAATCAAAATACAATGTTGCAGCCCTGTAAACCATAGAAATGCTGTTACAATATATTTTGATCTCTTTGTCAACATACATATACTGTATAGCACTGGTAGCCTTAGCCTTAAAGACATCTGAGCCCCTATAGCATTCAGCATTTGAGAGGACATTTGAGCTGTAGCTGTCTCTTTTTCATGAGTCCAGATGTGGTGGTACCACATCAGCCTTCAACTTGTAATTCAGGGATTTCTGACACAAACTCTCACTGGGTGAAAAGAACTACAGACATAACATCAGTTTGTTAGCAGAATGCCTACAAATGCACCAGATGAATCAAAATAAAATCCACTAATACAATTGATTTTGCTCATTTTCTAGAAGCTATACATTGTTTGTATCTAGTTTCACTTGGTTGCTACCAACTCATACAAATGTGTAACAGCAAAAGTACTCTAAGTAATTTAGGATGATTATTTGGTGTGACCTCAAGGTTAGCAATAAGGCTGCCACCTCGGAAACCTCCAGGTCAAAGTAAAGGGTTTTTTTTTTTGTTCTTCTCATTCTGTCAGCTTTGAGTAAGTGCAGTATTAACCCTTGATTTGAATCATGCCATGGAGTAACATCTGGAGACATGGATTACTAAGACACACTACTGTAATGGGTGCTATGGCAACAGATATAGTTTAACCGTCTTTCTTACTTGTTTGGCTGGACCCTTCTTGACCAGTCCAGTGGCTGCAGCAATATTGCCTGCACCCTCCACAGTTTTCTGGGCCACAGCAGTAACCCCGGTAACCATCGCTCCGCCTACATGAGATACTCCAGACACAGTTTTACCTGCAACTACAGGGGCAGAAGAGAGGGGGAGGGCATTTAAGGTGGGTGTATGTCTTTAGAGCAGGGGTCTCTGATCCTGGTCCTTGAGTGCCACTGCCCTGCTCGGTGTGTTCAGTCAGTCAGAAGCTGGAAGATACCAAATCACTTAGTCTTTCCTCACTCCAACTTTATCTAAGATGGAATCTTCCAGCTTCTGATTGACTGAAGACACCTGATCCAAGTAATCAGCAGTGGGTAGAGTAGGGATAGTTGGAAAACAAGCAGGGCGGCGGCTCTCGAGAATTGCCCACCCCTGCTTTTGAGCCTCAGCAAGGACATAAACATAACACAGACCTTACAATACTGAATTTCAAAGTTTCCACAGTGACTGGAAGGAAACATAATTTGAGCCCTTTAGTGACTTCTGTCCAGTTGTCAGTGATTTAGGATGGAAGTGGAAATCAGTATACAATATGGCAGATAAATCCACAGGTTGGTCTAATGACCTCCTCAGCCGTTCACCATACCGGGCTGATGACAGACGTTTACTGGTCACTGAGTGTAGTTTGACCTGATGGAGGTGCTAGAGGACCAGTCCTAAGGCCACTAAACTCAAACATGAATGCTCACCATACATTTCCTGCCAATACGACAATTAGGTTCTGAAATACGGTGGCCGCAGCCAAACAAACAGGCAGACGGATGAATGAAGGTGGTCACAACTCCACTTCTTTGTAAAAGTAACAAAAAAATACTAGTCAATACTACAGTAATCCAAACTGTTAATTTGTCACTGCTTGTTTTTGCTGCTGCATAAGGGTGCATAATTGTGAGGGTATTTATTAACTAAAGTGTCAGAAAATGATTGTGATATTCTTTAAAAACACTCACATTGTTAGCATTACAGCCGTTTTTGTGGGTGCCTACTAGTCTATCTCTCCTGGCTTCTCTGCTTGCTTTGTATGCTAAAACGACAACGCCTGCATGGCCAGGTTGTGTTGAGTTAGGTGGCAAAATATGACTGTTGCTCACCTGCTGAGCTAAAGTAGGCGAACTCTACTGCTTTTGCTTCTGTCAGAGATCTACTTGTCTAACTATCCTGCTCAGAACAATACGCTGAACTTACAAAATATGTAAATTCATACAATATTTATTTATTTTTTCAGACCAACAAAGGATGGGAACAAATGTTTTTAGGCCTGTGTTACCTGTTGTGACTCCATCCTTTGTTTTGTTACCTGAAAGGAAATGCAGGTGAAATTTAGTTAGTCAAAAATATCAACTACAGAAACCTGTAAATGGTCAAAATGGCCTGTTTCATTCAGCCTCAGTAATAATAATAATAATAATAATACATTTTCTGGTGACATGAGCCTGAATAAAATGAATTTCCAGCACCCACCGACAAACATAACCCCATCTTTCGTCATCTCAGCTGCTCCAGTCACTCCCTGCTTCGTTTTCTCCGCCACTGCTACGACCCCATCCTTGGCTTTGTGGAAACCTTTCATTAACGCGTCCATGGCTGCTTGATTGGCACCCAAATTACACGCACGCACAGCTGTGGGGATGTCAAAACAGGCGCGATGAGAGAGCACTCCCAGAGGAATTGAAGAGCTCGATATTGAAATGTGTGCCACCGCCCTACTTTTCTCTGTGTGTCAGGTTTGTCAAGCCAGTATCACCGACTGAAATGTGTGTGTGCGCTGGTGATGCAGGCAGTCCTGATCCAAAAATCCCACCTGTGGGAATCGGCTGCGCCCCAGCTGAGAAACCATGAATGGATTTACTAATACATTTAAAAAAAAAATAGAGGGAACGTGTGTGTGTGTGTGTATATTTAAATAAAGTCAAACAAGAAATTATAGAGCTGTGTTCCACGCACCTGTTTGTTTCAACTTCCTTTGAGTCGAGATCAAGATGAGACTCCCCGGATGAAGCGAAGGTTTCCCCCGACGAGCGGCAACACCGGTTTATTGTCTCCGAACTACAACAACTACTAAAGACGATGTGTGTGGGTGTCTTCCCAAAGGACGGACGACGCTCCACAAGTTGGATAGACTCCTCCCAGCCTCGGTGATGGAGAAGGAGCGACTGAACCCCGTGATGCTGATGCGAGAGAAGAGATGCTCCGCTGTCTGTCTGTCTGTCTGTACCACACACACACACAAAGGATTACGTAGCTCCTTCTGTACGTGGGTTGCCCACAGCGTGTAGGTGCAGCAGCAGGCACTTAATCACACATCTATGGCAGAACTACCAATTAGCGTCAGTATAATTATGCAAAACACCACTACTGGGCTGTCCAGTGTTCCTACATATGAGTTACTACAGCTGCACAGCAGGTCCATGACGGGTTTTTGAATTGTAGATTAAAAGGTCATCCTGGAATTGAACCCTAAATCAGTTTTTACATTGATGCTGGGCAACCTTTCATAAAAAAAACTGTTTAACATTCTTATAGAGATACCACTTTAAAAATAAATAAAAGCCACTTTGCTTAATGGTTGAAGCATTATTGAGTTATTGTTTCCATCTTGGGATATTTCAGTGCTCCTGACATCCTGACACTTTTTTAGTTTGCTGACTTCTGACAAATAATCACAGATATGACATCCAAACATCATAAAGCCTGAGCCAACAGCCAGACATACCTGTGTGATGAAACTATGCATCTTCTGTGTTCAGATGCTCATCACAGGGCTAAGTCCTGCTTCCCTTCGCTGTCAATCAGATGCTAAAGAGCAGAGTCATTATGGCCCCATGTTGTTTATCACTTGCTCCAGGGGGACAAGCCAGACTCAGCATGATGCAACAGCACAGGCTCAATTAAAGGACCTGACTTTTCTTCAGACTAATGTATGTAGAAATCATGTGCCAGGATAAGTATTGTGGCCATGCCGTTGAGTCCAGTGGTTGATTTTTGTGCTTGATGACACAGTTTCAATCTTAAAATACTGCGTTAAATGTTAACTCTGCCAAAGACAGAACAAGACAGAGCATTTGGAAATAGCTTGAATAATGGTCTTTAAAATTTGACATGGTGTTCTCTTACAGCACTGAAGTGATTGTTGTGGAGTATAGATTTAAAATGACTATAACTCATGACTCATGACTCATACACACATTTTCCCAGTGGGGTACCAGTGTCCCTAGGTGGGAATAAAAGATCTAAATTATTCAAGCAGAAGGTCAGGCCTGAAATGCAGGCTGACCTCCTGCATATTTGTTGCATGGACCTGTCAGTGTGGAGTGCTTTCCACATCAGAGCTGCCACTAAAGCAGCATCACACATCTCACTGTCAGCTGGACTCATGCGGCTTGTTACAGTGGGCTCATTTTGTCAGACCTGCTCTCATCATAAATCATTATGATGATAAAGAGTGCTTGGTTTGTCACCATGACTTACTGAGAGGTGATTTAACATAAACAAAAATAGCAGATCTTGTTGGTCATATTCACTGAATAGCAGCGTATGCCATATAAATGTAACGATGACAGTCCATAAGAAGCAGCCAGTAATAAATTCTGCTAGTTAGACATCACAAACCCACTTGAAAAATCAGTTCTGAAGTTTTAAAATTATACTATTTTTTGCATTTTTTCATCTCTGTTTGCCTCTTTCTAAAGGACCACCCTCAGTGAATCATCTTCGAGGCAGATAAAATAACGTGAGTCATAGAAATTGTATTTGTTTTCGTTGGAAAATTCAGAATGTTTCAGTCAAAGTTGCTTTAAAAAGGCTTTGCCATGCTGTGTAAATCTACAGAAAGCTTACAGTTTCAATTTAAGTGTTAAAACCTTCTTCTATTACAGCTGTACACAGTGTGGTGTGTGCGTACGGAGAGGAAGACACAAGGTGGTGCCCAGTTTGACTGTGCAGCTCTGCCCCGCTGTCATCAGTGGTCACTCAGTAGTCGGTGGGTCTGTTCTTTTTCCATGTGCGTGTGTGTGTGTGTGTGTGTGTGGGCGCCTGGTGGAGGGAGTGTGTATGAAGATCCAGTTCTGATGAAATAGAAGCCTAGAATTTCACAGAAAACTTTAATTATATCTCTAGTCTGGCTTCATCACAGACTGACTAACTGAAATCTAAAGTTGCAAAGTGACCAAGGCTATGAACAGTTCAGGTTAGACTGATAATAAAGCAAATGATAAATGTATTTTTATTAAAATAAGCATGATTATTGTATTACCACCAGTACTGACACCATGTTATGCATGAAAGACCAAACTTCCACAATCGTTTTCAATGTTTTTATTTAATTTCAGTTGTTTCACCTGAATTTATTTCATGTTGTGTAGTGCCACCTTCTGTAGGATGCATGCTATAGCTGCTTGAACTCACTGACCTGAATAAGTGCAGATCTAAAGGTATTACGTGGCCTCGATTCCTCAGATATAGAAAGCTGTGACACTGACTGCATCTGAATTGTCTTAAAAGTCACATTGTGGCCTGATTGACGCTGGTCTGGGGGAAGTAAACGAAGCCTTAAGAACACATCTAAGACAGTTCCACTGTAGATTTTAAAGATTTGTGTTTCCCTTTGACTGGTTAACATGCTGGGAACATCAAGGCAATGAATCCTTGAAATATTCCGAAGTTATTTTATGATGAAATCTCACGGTTTTTAAACAGCAAAGATAGAAAAACAATCTGCTCATAAAATCATTAGATATACACTTCCATAACTTTGTTAGTTATAAGCACACAGACGTGCATTTTCCAGTATACCTGAGACTCCTTCTTCAAGCATTGCAGTTTATTTATGTAAATTGCTTTTGGCTTTATCTTTTTTTATTTAGTTTCTATTGCCAAAATCAAATAGCAAATTCTCCAGCCTAGGATTTACTGTTTGTTTTGATTGTTTTAAGATTAAACATTTCTAAGCTTTTCCCTCAGTTTTATCCACACAACCTTTTTTTTTTTTGGTGACGCATGTATCCCAGTAATGCCTCACAGATTCTTATTCTCACTGTATTTGCCTGGACACTGTCCATGCACTGAATCATCAGACACTTGGCAGACTGTAGAGGGGCAATGACTGTTTGTTAGCGAGTTAGTCACTCTTTGGGCGTTGGTAGATGTTCCAATTTGAAAGTGGGTGCAGCCATGAAGAGGAGAAAGGACGATCATCTGCATTGTCTCTGTGGTTGTTCTATTATTTGTTGGTGTCACTGGTGTCTAAATGTTTGTGTCATTGGTGTCTTACAGTGGTTTCTGTGAAAAGGGATGACAGATGATTTCAGGTTGTGTCATTGGTGTCTTACAGTGGTTTTTGTGAAAAGGGATGACAAATTTTGACAAATTCAGCCATGAACTTGTAGCTCTTGATTACATATAACATGACTTTGCTCCTCATTCAGCGTTTGTTAATTCCACAGCGCATAAAAGCACCTTTACCTTTTTTACACCTTGCCTTAAATTCTTATTGTTCGTTAAACCTTGTGTATTTTATATATTTTTACCTGTGATTTAGTTTCTTGTCCTTTTACATTACACATTTTTATTATTTGTGTATGCTGTTTTCTCCATTTTGCAGAGTTTTTCCAGCAGCACTTTATAATATAGCCGACATTTTACAGTGTAATTTTGTCAAACAAATCAAGTGCCTACTGTATAATATTAAAACACTTAGTGGTTTTCACTGGCATTTAAATGTAGGTGCATTGGAAGAAAACAAGAGAGCAAGAGAGTGCCAACTGGGATTTTTAGATGAAAAGGAGAATTTTTGTATATATTGTGTAACTGCAGCAAACAGTACAGCTAGAATGAAAAGTATGGCAAAAAATGTTGATGGCAACCTTGTGCGTACTGTGCAGTTAAAAAGTAAGAGAGGTGAAGAGTCAGGTCTTTTATATCACTGTCTGTATAATCATACTGTGTAATTAAATGAATTAAAAATGATCATTAAGATCCTCATTAGACATTTATGATCAGCACCTCTGTGCGTTACATTATTATGTTATGTTTTTCCCTAATGGACAACAGAAACCTTCCACAACTGTGCACTTTGTTTTATACTGTTCTCTCCTTTACTCTCTTTTGTTTTTTCCCAGTACTGTACTCAGTAGTGAGAGTATAATTTATGTCTCCTTTCCTCTAAAATGCCCAGTTGCTACTCCCTGATTCCTCACAGCCTTGAGTTTTTCCACTGTATTTACATTTAAATATTAGAAATAAACCCTTTTATTCGAACCGGATGCATATAAAAATAAACTAAGGTGTATTATGAAGTGTTACTGTAAATATATTTTGTAGTAATTTTTAGCTGCATGAATAAAACTGGCATGACTTGATATTCTGTATTTTCCTCATATTTAATGAGTCATACAGGATACAAAGCTTAGTCTGATGAATTTCATTCACTATATGATCGCTTTAGGGAGTGACCCCAGTGGCTATGACTAATGACCCTGGTGAGGTGATATCTTACACAATACCTCGTTAAATCAAACGGGCTCTTCCCTCTTCCACCCAGGAATTGTTTCAGACATTCTGGATTCACTGGTGAAAATCTCAAGTAGTTATTCTGTGATCCAGAGGGTATCGCTTGACCAGCTTTATGTCAGTGTCTTACTTAAGTCTAATATTTATTTCACCATGCATTACTTTCCTCTTAGCATGGTTTGAAAACTACCTTCCTACATAGAGGAACAGTCACTAGATGGCACCAGAAGATACCAAACCAGCAGACAGTGTCACACGTCTGAGTACGGTCCCTCAAACACGTCCACTCAACAGACATCTGGCTAGTTTTGGCACAACTTTTTATCAGCTTGATTATGAGAAATAGGGGATATTCCACAAAAACAAACAAACTAACTAACAAACACGTCCACTCAACAGACATCTGGCTTGTTTTGGCACAACTTTTTATCAGCTTTATTATGAGAAATAGGGGCTATTCCACAAAAACAAACAAACAAACTAACTAACTAACTAACTAACTAACTAACTAACTAACTAACTAACAGGTAGGGTCGTTTTCTACAAGTTACTCTACCTTTGCCAAATTAGGATTACATTTAATAATTATCTTAAATATGCTTGTTTTGCCACTGAGGGAACTACACAAATTCTCAAACTGATAGCTGGAACATAGAACTGCATTTAGTGAAAGCCTCAGCAGTACCATAC